TTTTTTTTTTTTTTTTTTAGTTGAACAGTCAACTGTCTCTCGGGTGTTCCTGTCGCCTGTTGAAAAGGCGCCGGGATCTGTGTGATTTCCCATGCCGCCACCCACTGCACTGGCTGAAACAGCCGCGCTGAGATTCGTGGAACTTTTTTGCCCAGGAATCTCCTGGCCTGGCTCCCTGTTTCAGTCCCCTTTTTAATCAGATGAATGGGTGACTCTGTCTCCCAGGAGCTCCAGTCTCCAGCTAAAACGGCCCCTGGACCCGTGTATTTTTTATGGAGAACCATTACACCGGCGCGCCAGCAAAGCAGCCACGCCAGCCAAAACAGCTGCCGGGGCCAAACCAGTCGTGCTGGTGACCTATGGGGCTCCTCCGCCTGGGAATCTCCTGGTCTGTGGGCAATAAAAATTCTTCTGGAAATGCGGCATCCACTCACCCTCCACACCTCTGGGAGCTGTAATCCTGAGCTGCTCCTAATCTGCCATCTTGGATCCCTCTTGGGATTATATTTTTAAAAGCAAAATGCCTGGCACCTGGTCACTTTTCATTATATGCTGGTTCCTTTTGTTCTCCTGTCTGACCCAATTTAAAGTCCCTTTGGTCTCATTAGCTTGTTTTATGAACATGGAGGCAAGGATTCCGGGTAGGAGGCAGTTGTAGCATTTCATTCCTTAAGCATTTGCTGATTACTCTGTATAGTGGAAATCCAGGGGAAGGGATGATGTTGATGATGATGATTTTTATTAGATTTTGAGACAGGGTCTCACTATATTGCCCAGGCTCAAGTGCAGTGGCACAATCATTTCTCACTGCGGCCTCAACCTCTTGGGCTCAAGCGATGATTCTGCCTGAGGCTCCTGAGTAGCTGGGACTACAGGTGCACGCAACCATGCCCAGGTAGTTTTTAATTTTTTTGTAGAGATGGAGTCTCACTATGTTACCCAGGCTGGTCTTGAACTCCTGAGCTCAAGTGATTGTCTTGTCTTAGCCTCCTAAAGTGCTGGGATTACAGGCGTGAGCCATTGCACCTGGCCTAGGATTAACTGTGTTAGTAGATGTTTCAGAAGTACAATGGGTAGATATGGGAATTCATGGAGAATTAGGGGAAGGTGGATAGAAAAGAGGCTAAACTGATTTTCTCCTAGTATAATCTTTGGAATCAAACTAAGAAGGGCAAATTGGTTATTCTCAGGGAAAAATTTTCTCTATGTTTAAACATGCAAGTAATATTAGCTGTCTTCCACCTGAGAAATTTGTTTTCTATAAGTTTTGTACCTTTTAAAAAAAATTATTTGTATCATAAAGGACCCAAATAATATATATGGCATGAATATACATCTGCCCATGTATGCCGAATTTATTCTATAAATAATCACTTTGCACTCTTTGATTCTAGCTTGCGTTGCTGACCTCACTAGTATAATTATTGGCTGACTTTCTCTTTTTTCTTTTTCTCCCAATCAGTTTGATAAAGGTTACTCTTACAACATCCGTCATAGCTTTGGAAAGGAAGGCAAGAGGACAGACTATACACCTTTCAGTTGCTTGAAGATCATCCTATCCAATCCACCAAGCCACGGGGATTATCATGGTAAGTGCTTCCAGTGGATATGCTGGCCAAGTACGGAAATCCAAGAGCTCCGTTGGAAACACTGAAACAATGTAATGGCTTTTTGCATTACTGTCAGGACCTAGTTTGTAGCTTATGTCAGTCATCACTGTCAAGCTAGAGCTCCGTTACTCTTACAGCAATTTGTCTTATTACTGAACTAGGTCAGGCCAGAGAAATTCATTCAGCTGCACTTCAGTTTGTGTTGGATTAGGCTTTTCAGTTCTCAATTTCCTCCTTTCTGCTGTTCTGTCTCACTCTTCTGCAGTTTTTTCTGCAAGTGTCTTAGATGGTTGATACAAGTTTTACAGAGCTTTTTGAAATTAGAATATTCTAATTTTGGAATAGTAGATTAATATTCCAAAGGCTAATTACTAAGGAAAAGTGTAGGTTTTTTTTTCTTATCATCATCATCATCATCATCATCATCATCATCATCATCATCATCTGATGAACCAAAAAGATTAAATGGGCAATTTAACATGCCATGGTATCAGCCATAACTATCAATTTTCCCGAGTTAGTTAAAAAGAAAAACAAACCATCTCATTTGTTTGGTATATCCAAGAATGATTTAATAGTTCATATCAGTAAATCTCCTGGATTACCAAAGCTTACTATAGTATGTGTGAGAAGTGCTTTTGTTTTAGAATTGTAAATGAAACACTTTTCAAAAGACTGCACACTTTTGGGCTGTTGAAGATCAAATAATCATAAACAATATTTTTAGAAAGACATTCCATGTGTCCAAAGCAGTAAAAAATACCTATACATTCATTAGTTAATAGATAAAGAGGTGGCCAGCACTAGTTTTAGATAGGTAGATAGGTAGGTAGGTAGGTAGGTAGGTAGAGAGAGAGAGAGAGAGAGAGATCTGGATGGACAGATAGATAGATAGATAGATAGATAGATAGACAGATAGATAATTTTTTTGAGATGGAATTTCACTGTTGTTTCCCAGGTTGGAGTGCAAAGGCATGATCTTGGCTCACTGCAGTCTCCGCCTCCTGGGTTCCAGAATTTTCCTGCCTCATCCTTCTGAGTAGCTGGGATTATAGGCACCCACTGGGCTAATTTTTTGTATTTTTGGTAGAGACGGGGTTTTGCCCTTTTGGCCAGGCTGGTCTCTAATTCCTGGCCTCAGGTGATCTACCCACAAAGTGCTAGGATTACAGGCCTGAGCCACCACTCCTGGTTTGGTAATGTACATTGAGTGGTTTTTACCACTTGTGTCAGAATCCCTTGAGGTGCTTTTTTAGAAATGCAGATTCTCAGGGCCCACCCTCTGTCATATAAAATCAGACTTTATTTGCAAGTGCCCTGGGTGAGTTTTATGTCTTCTAAAGTTTGAAAACCATAGATCCAGATACTTCTGTTGAGGAAGGCTGAGGTTTTTCTTAACCTAGCAGCCATACCAGGCAGTTAACCTATGATTAAGCTTGTGGCCAAGTAAAACTCCCAAGGATTTGTCTGTAAATGTCCAGGTTTTAGCATTCATCTCTTAATCAGTTGGTTTTTATTAGTTTAAATGCAAAACTTTATTTCTGTTAAATTGTATCTTGTTTATCCCAGTGCATTCTGTTACTATTTTGTATTTAAGTTAAACTCTGTCATTCAAGAAATATTATCCTTAGCACTCAGTAAACTCATTATTTGTTGGAAAAATTTACTTACCCCTTTTTAAAAAATTAATAAGCAATTTTTTAGAGCTGTTTTAGGTTCACAGCACAATCATGTAAGTTCAGAGTTCCCATATACCTCCACACCCTGACACACGTACAACCTGAATCAGTGTCAGTATCCCACACCACACTTGTACATGTGTTACAATCGATGAACCTACATTGACACATCATTATCATTCAAAGCCCATAGTTTACATTAGGGTGAATTCTTGGTGTTGTATATTATATGGGTTTGGGCATATTTTTAATGACAGGTATCTACCATTGTAGTATTCTGAAGAATAGTTTCATTGCCCTAAAAATCCTGCGTTTTACCTGTTCATCCTTTTCTCCCCCTAATCTCTGGCAACCACTTATCCTTTAACTGTCTCTATAGTTCTGCCTTTTTAAGGAATGTCATATAGTTGGAATCATATAGCCTTTTCAAATTGACTTCTGAACTCGCTAATATGCATTTAAGTTTCCTTCATATCTTTTCTTGGCTTCTTAATGGATTTCTTTTTTGCCCTGAATATATATCGCATTGTCTAGATGCACCACAGATTATTTATTCTTTGACCTTCTGAGGGACATCTTAGTTGCTTCCAAGTTTTGACAGTTGTGATTAAGGTGCTGTAAATATCTGTGTAGAGGTTGTTGTGTTAGATAGAAGTTTTCATTTTGTTTCGGTTAATACCACAGAACAGGATTACTGGATCATAAAGTGGCAAAGTGGCTGTACCATTTTTCATTCCCACCAGCGATGAATGAGAGTTCATGTCACTACAAATTCTTAAAGCATTTGGTGTTGTCATGTTTTGTATTTTGGCCATTCTAATAGATGTGTAGGGGTATTTCTTTGTAATCTGTACATTACTTAGGATGATATGTTGATTCTTCCAATCCATGTTTTTATTTACAATACCCTACTGGCATTATGTTGAAGCCTTTTCATAAGCATACTTGCCTTCTGTATGTCTTCTTTGGTGAAGGGTCTTTTGCTATTTTAAAATCAGGTCGTTTTCTTATGTTGAATTTCAAGAGTTCATTGTGTATTTTGCATAACAGTAGTTTATCAGATTTCTTTTTTGCAAATGTTTTCTCCCCATCTGTGCTTCTGTTCTTTTTTTTCCTTTTGGTATTTCAGTTACACATATGTTATACCTTTTATAGTTGTCCCGCAGTTCTTGGGTATTATGTTCTGTTTTTTTTTTTTTTTCCCCTAGTGTTTTTTTGTGTGTCTGTTTTTGTACCAGTATGATGCTGTTTTAGTTATGATAGCCTTGTAGTATAGTTTGGAGTTAGGTAGAGTGATGCCTCTGGCTTTGTTCCTTTTGCTTAGGATTGCTTTGGTTATTTAGGCTCCTTTTAAGTTCCATATGAATTTTAGAATAGTTGTTTTCTTATTCTGTGAAAAATAATATGGGTAGTTTGATAGGAATAATACTGAATCTGTACATTACTTAGGATGGTATGTTGATTCTTTCAATCCATGAGCCTGGAACGTTTTTCTGTTTGTGTTGTCTCTGATTTCTTTCCGCAGCATTTGTAGTTCTTCTTGTAGAGACCTTTACTTCCTTGCTTAGATATATTCCCAGATATTTTGTGTGTGTGTGTGTGTGTGCCTATTGTAAACAGCATTGCGTTTATGGTTTGGCTCTCAGCTTGAACATTGTTGGTATATAGAAATGATACTGATTTTTAAGGCTGGGCATGGTAGATCATGCCAGTAATACCAGTACTTTGGGAGGCCAATGTGGGTAGATCACTTGAGGTCAGGAATTCAAGACCAGCCTGGCCAAAAGGGTGCAACCTCATCTCTACTGAAATTAAAAAACAAAAATTAGCCAGGCATGCTGGCATGTGCCTATATTCCAGCTAGTCAGGAGGCTGAGATACAAGAATTGCATGAACTACAAAACCCAGGAGGCAGAGGTTGCAGTGAGCTGAGATTGCACCACTGCACCGGTGACAGATTAAGACTCTGTCTAACAAAGAAAAAAGAAATGCTACTAATATTTGTACATTAATATGTACAAATATGACTTCACTGAAGTTATTTATTAGTTCTAGGAGCCTTTTGACAGATTCTTTAGGGGTTTCTAGGTATAGAATCATATCAGAAAAGAAAGATAGTTTGACTTCTTTTTCTATTTGGATATTTTTTATTTCTTTTTTGAGACGAAGTTTTGCTCCAGGCTGAAATGCAATAGCATGATCTCAGCTCACTGCAACCTCCACCTCCCGGGTTCAAGTGATTTTCCTGCTTCAGCCTCCTGAGTAGCTGAGATTACAGCTGTGCACCATCATGCCAGGCTAATTTTTTATATTTTTAGGAGAGACGGGATTTCACTGTGTTGGCCAGGCTGGTCTCAAAACTCCTGACCTCAGGTGATCTACCTGCCTTGGCCTCCCAAAGTGCTAGGATTACAGGCGTGAACCACCATGCCTTTTATTTCTTTCTTTAGCCTGATTGCTCTGGCTAGGAGTTCTAGCAGTATTTTGAATAAGAATGGTGAGAGTGGGCGTCCTTGTCTTGTTCCAGTTCTCAAGGTGAATGATTTGAGCTTTTGCCCACCCAGTATGATGTTAGTTCTTATAATTTTGAGGTATATTCCTTTGGTACCTGGTTTTCTGAGAGTTTTTATCATGAAGGGATACTGGATTTTATTGAAAGCTTTTTCTGTCTATTGAAATGATAATATGGTTTTTGTTTTTAATTCTGTTGATGTGATGATGAATCACTTTTATTGATTTGCATGTGTTGAGTCAGACTCACATCCCAGAAATAAAGATTATTTGATAATGGTGAATTAGCTTTTTGATGTGCTGCTGGATTCAGTTTGCTAGTATTTTGCTGAGGATTTTTGATTCCATTATCATCAGAGATAATGGCCAGAAGTTTTCTTTTTTCATTGTGTCTCTGCCAGATTTTGGTATCAGGGTGATGCTAGCTTCATAAATTGAGTTAATGGGGAGTCTCTCCTTCTCAGTTTTTTGGAATAGTTTTGGTAGGGTTGGTACCAGTTCTTATTTGTACATCTGGTAGAATTTGGCTGTGAATCTGCCTGTTCCAGGGCTTTTTCTGGTTGATAGGCTTTTTGTTATTGATTTAATTTCAGACCTCCTTATTGGTCTGCCCAGATGTTCACTTCCTGGTTCAGTCTCAGAGGGTTGTATGTTTCCTGGAACTTGCTCATTTCCTCTAGATTTTCTAATTTGTGAAAAATGCAGTTATTTCTAATTAACTTACAGATCTGTCTATATGACTGAAGAAAATAAGACTTTTCTATATTAAATTTTCAAGTAAGTATTTCAAACTTACCATTGCAGTTTTTTATTAAAATATGTAAATTTTATGGATTTTATCCTAAAACAATTTTTATATTTCTTCTGTATTCTTATTTATGTGAATATTTCTAGTAGCCTTTTATTTGTTTATCTCATTTCCATCCATGATTCTTTAAAAATTTTTACAGATTGTATGCTTTAGGAAATAGGCATATAGTTTACCTTTGAAAATGATGTTAAATGTTTATATTTCTCAGAGTTTGCATGTTTTTCTTGTTTACATTATCTTCCTTCTCTCATATACATTTTATGTATTTTTTAGACTAGAACATAATAAGATTGTATAAAGTTTTAAAATAAACCATTATGCAGCTATTTTGTGATTCTTTGAGCTTGTTAGCAAGGAACGTAATTAAAGCCATTTCCCTTCTTGCTGTTGAATGGACATCTTAGCCTGAGAATGCTGCAATGTTTTATGTAACTCTTGTGCCTGTAGTGCCCTGATAACCACACAGCTAAGTCATCATTTAGATAAAAAGAAGAAAGCAGCTGTACCCATGGGCAATTACCTTTTTTATTAATAAGCTGCTAGACAACTAAGGGAAGCTTAGATGGTCTCTCGAGTGTGGTATTGTGCTCAGTTGTGGGTAAATAACCTTGTTTGTGTGCTGGCTTATTTTTTGTTGTCAGGGTGCCCATTCCGTCACAGTGATCCGGAGTTGCTGAAGCAAAAGTTGCAGTCATACAAGATCTCTTCTGGAGGGATAAGCCAGGTAGGTTAGACTCTGTTCTCTGCATCTACAGTAATGAGGCCTCAGACAGATGTCTCAGTTTTATTTAATGTTCTTACAATTATGCTGTGTACTGCTTGTCAGGGCTCACACCAGACATCTTATCGTCAAGATGAATTAAGCGAAAACCTTGACTTTACTGGTTTAGACTCTTAGGAAATTTTAGTTCTTCTGTCTGCTAAACTGCATTTTAATTTTTCCTAGTCATAAAGGAAGCTGGAAACCTTTTTCCCTGCCTTAATTTGTTTTGCTATCTCAATTGAAGACTACATCTTTAAAAATAAAATCTTTGAGCAATGCATGGAAGCTTATTAATGAAGCTTAAAATTAGTGACAGCATATTTAATTTTGGGAAATTATTTTCTGAGCAGATGATAATGTAGTATGTACTGGCTGAATGTTCTGATAGTCATCAGTTATTGCTATGTTTAATCTGCACTTCTCATGGTAGGCCTAATGGTTTGTCAAAATACTTTGTCTTATGAACAAAGGAAATAAGAAAGAAATGCTCAAATTGTAAAACCAAATATTTAAGAGTACATTTTTTAGTACGTCTGCCTTTAAAAAAATTAATATTGTGACATAGCAAAGACTATTTTCTATAGTGTGCTTACAAGTTGACTGGAATTTTGAAGGAACTGGGAAAGAACTTCTGCTTCCTTAGCTTAAGAAGAACATTATATATTTTAGAGTTAGAACATCTAAATCATCATACATCTTTAAATAGTTATTTTTATTTAAAGAAGATTGCTACTCTTGACAACTTTACTACGGCTTCTGTGTCCAAAGTTCAGATAACAAATCTTACAGAGTTTTTTTTAGTGCTTTGAGCAAAACAGTGTTCAAGGTGCTACAGGTTATGCAAGGAAGAATCAGATATAAATCCTGCTCCCACAAAACCAGTGTCTGGAAAAAAAAAACAGAATATAAACCAAGATTGTCTTGGGTCTTCTGATGAGAGAAAGACTATGTAACCAGCTGAAGAGGTCAACGAACCCTTTATGGAAGAGATGCCCTTTGAATTAGGCCTTGCACGAAGGTTGGGAATTAGGGAGAGAGAATGCGCAAATGAAAGACTATCAAGCTTAGGATAATGGTGACGCCAACACATAAATACTAATAGGTAACTTAAAGAAAGTATAGTTGGTTTTGGTTTGGGAGACTTAATTTTAGTGATTAGAAACTGCTGCTAACAAATTTGATAGGGAATCTAGAAATAATTAGCGGCTTTTTTTTTTTTTTTTTAAGAAATCAAAGGATCACCTTTTAAAAAAAATTTCAAACTCTTAACCTATCTGTGTTAACATATTATGCCTTCCGTTAAATGGCATTAATGTGGATTTGGGGCATTAGATAATTTAGGACTAGAAATCTGATGGTCTTTTCAGTTAGAATTGTAGCATAGGTAAGAATATTAGAAAGCCATTCTCTTTTATGGAGTCCAAGGAGGTAACATGCCATGGTGCATAGGTAGGAAGTCAGTGATAGAACCAAAAATTGAAGCCAGACCTTCTGAACTCCACTCTACTTTAGAGCTTATTATCATGAGTTTGCTGGGGGAGAGAAAAAGTAGAGGTCAAAAGCTGTGTTTCAAAATGGGATCTTGGCTAATCCTTCTCTTTGTCAAGCATTGACAGGAGGCGGGATCAGTGAAGACTGAACAGAAATGGGGAGAGAGGGAGAAAATGCTTCAGGGAAGTGAAGTATCAAAAGTCAAGGAGAAAATTTTGAGAAGAGAGTAAGTTCCACAGAGATCCTTGTAGCACAGATTTTTTTTTTTTTTCTTTCTCTAATGAAGAGAACTGAGAAAAGGTGGTTAGATATGCTGAGAGGATTATTTGACTTTGACTTTGGTGAGGTGTCAGTAAAATGGAGGAAACCAAAAGCAAGATTATAGTTGCTTAAAAAATAGTGAATGAAAGACAGTAAATAACCTTTTCAAAAATGTGCCAGGCCAGGTGCAGTGGCTTGTGCCTGTAATGCTAGCACTTAGGGAGGCTGAGGCAGGCAGATTGCTTGAGCCCAGGCATTCAAGACCAGCCTGAGCATCATGGCAAGAATCAGTCTCTACAAAAAATTAGCTGGGTGTGGTTGTGTGCACATCTAGCCCCAGCTACTCAGGAGGCTGAAGGGGAGAATCACCTGAGCCTGGGAAGGTGAGGCTGCAGTGAGCTGTGATCATGCCACTGTCCTCCAGCACTGGCAGTGGAGTGAGACCCCGTCTCAAGAAAAAAAAAAATAGTGCCAGTAAAGAGGATGTTAGAGTGGTATTAGCTTAAGCATCATGGGGTTATTGATTTCTGGGTTTAAGACCTGAGCCTATTTTTAGGAAGAGGAGAAGAAAAGAACTGTCAGATAGGATGGGCTTGATGAAGATATAAAAGAAAGGAAGTATCTCTTTAACCAAGCAGAATCAAGTTCTCTTTCATTTATAACATGACTGTATTTTACATGCCCTTGCTCTTAACTTTGTTACGCTTGATTACAATTATTTGTTTACCTGTTCATGTTTCCCAACAGTTTGTGAGTTTCCTGAAAGGAGAGCTGGATTTTTACTTAACTTTCTGTCTCATAGTAATCCAATGAGTTAGGTGCTTTAAAAATGTTTGAAGAGTGAGGGGGCATATTTAGGTATGACTTGGATCCTAGAGTTTGCATGGTGGTATGCAGAGAGAGGCAAATAGGAACTCAAAGACACAACTGAAAAAGTAACTCATTGGCGGAAAGAAGATATATATTTGAACCAAAGGATGGTGACAGAGAAAGTCATACCCCTCAGCAGTGTGGGAATACACAGGAAATAGCTAAGACACAGCAAAGGGAAGTTGATGGAGTGTATCAACTGGTCTTATTCTTCCTTGTAAATAAAGTAAGGTCATCAGCTGGAGAGTAAATGGGGTACGAATGATATTCTGGTTATAGAAAAGGTTAGAAACTACCACCAACAAATGTGATAGGAAATCTAGAAGAAATGAGAGGTTTTTTTAGCAGTCATAAAAAAATCACCTTTTAAAAAAAATAGTCAATGGTAACATCTCAAGAAAATTAATGTTTATAGTTAATAGTAATGACTATGTTCGTATACTCTTTGCTTTTGACTCCACTGTATTTCTCCATTTGCCCTTGATCTATAAGTACATTCCTTACTTAGTTGAAGCTGGTTAATAATTTTCACATTACCCTTTAGACCTGCATTGTAACCTTTTATCTGAGATGAACACAGATGTACAGTGCATGTGGGCAAGCTGTAAATAATATTTTCCTTTTATATGATGTCTTCATTGAGTGGTTCTCAGTAGAGTGAAGCAGCTGGTGGGCTGTATTTTAAAGGGCAAAGAGTTAATGAATGAAAATTCCATGTAGAACATTTTGTTAAGGTTGCATTTTGCAGGTTGGCCTAAGTGCGGATTAGATCTTGAAAACGCCAAATATACATTAAAATGTTGAATGAGAGTTAAGGAAAACATCATTAAAATGCATATAAGGTAGAACTCAATGTGGTTATTTTTAATCTCAGAGAAAACTACTTGAGAAAGATACGTTCAAATATAGGAAATATATATATTTTTTCCAAGACAGAGTCTCATCACTCTGTTTTCCAGGCTGGAGTGCAATGGTAGCAACTTGGCTCACTGCAGCCTCTGCCTCCTGGGTTCAAGCGATTCTCGCACTTCAGCCTCTTGAGTAGCTGGGATTACAGGCAGCCTCCATCATGCCTGGCTAATTTTTGTATTTTTGTAGAGATGGGGTTTCACCATGCTGTTCAGGCTAGTCTTGAACTCCTGACTTTGATTGATCTGCCTGCCTTGGCCTCTCAAAATGTTGGGATTACAGATGTGAGCCACCACTCCTGGCCAAGATATAGATGTTTTAAGTAATCAAAATATTGGTGATAAGAGATCGTTGTGACTCTGTTGGCATTGCTGATTTTTTAAAAAAAGCATACTTATAGGATCACATTTTACTTTCCTTTTTAATTTACCTTAATAGTGTTATAAAAATCACTAAAAATTAATGAGCTTGGTATCCAGCTTAAGAAACAGCAATTAAACAACAGAATATGGCCAAAGAAAATGGGCACCGCTGCATTTATTTCCCTCTCCTCCCTGAAAAGAGAAATACACAGCAGTCAATTTACCAACAAGATATAAAAATTATAAATATTTATGCCCCAAGAACATGCTTCAAAATGCATGAATTAATAACAGAGATCTGAAAAGAGAACTAGACAAATCCACAGTTATATTTGGAGACAAGACTTCAGCACTCACTCCTCTTAGTAATTAACAGAACAAGCTGGCAGAACGTCAGTAAGGCTATAGAAGCCTTGAACAATACTGTCAACCAGCTTTACCTAATTGACATCTGTAAAACATTTTACCCAACAGGAGACATGAAACAGTAACCCAGGCAGATTATAGTCAGGGTCTTTAAAATCCATTACAAATGTAAATGATTTGAAATCCTATAAAGTAGGATTTAAAGCAGTGCAATAAAGCAAGAAAAACAAACAAGATGAGAAAAGAAGAAAGATTGGTTGTTGAGGGGGATCCCAAGATGGCTGAATAAGAGGCAGCTCTGGAACACAGCTCCCAGCAAGAGAGACACAGAAGCTGAGTGGTCTCCACAAACCCAAACTAGGTACCAGTTTCATTTTGTGGGTCTGGTTGGACAGTGGGTATAAACCAAATAGGGCAAGTTGAGGCAAGGAGGGACACTGCCCCACCCAGGAGGTGCATGCAACTAACTGGAGGACCGGGGGATCTCCCACTCTAGGACTTGGGTTTGGATACAGTGCCACCCAAGCCCTCTACAACCCACCAAATAGGAGATCTTTGCCGGGCTGAAAAGCCTCTGTGACCTGCCTGAACAGGGCTGAACAGCAACTTGCCTGGTGCTGGGGCTGTCAGCAGAGATCTAGGCGGAAGCACTGGCTGATGCCAAGAAAGCCAGAAAGCGGCAGGATGGAGCTACGTGCCCCC